GGGTTTAGGGTTTAGGGTTTATTGTTTAGGGTGTCTTGCGTGCGCGGCCAGCATGCGCGATCGCACACACACTGCTCTCAAGAGTGCTTTCATGGCTCAGTCCCAGACCCTAAAGTTCCTAATTAGAGCGCGAAGCATGCAAGTTACCCCCCCAACCCCAAGCTATCGCTAGGATTTTGGCAGCACTCCAGTCGGCCGTAGCGCACCAGAAACACACTAATCCTTCTCCCTCGGCCCCTATAAGCCCTAAACCCGTGAAACCCTGGAGCGTCAGGGCTCAGCAAGCATTTGGAAGCCCGAAATCCTTTCAAGCCCTGAGCCCTAAACCCCTAAACCCTAACGTGAAACCATGGCCTGGAGTCGCACGAATGGCGCCTTTATCGACAGGCCGGGTTCAGGGGTTTAGGGGTTTAGGTGTTTAGGTGTTTAGGGTTTAGGGTTTATAGGGTTTAGGTTGAGTTTAGGGTTTATGGGTTTATAGGGTTTAGGGTTTATAGGGTTTAGGTTCAGGGGTTGAGGGCTTTGGGGCACAAAGAAGCCCAGTGCTGGTGGCTTTTGAGGGGCGATAGGCCGGGGGGAGGGCTGTGTTGGGGCGTCATGTTGTGGGATTATGAGATTCAATGTTTTGTGATGTTGCAATGGGATAAGGTTTAAGGTTTATGGCGTATGTGGCTTTACGTGTTCCTGAAATATTCTGCTCACAGGGCACTAGGCAGTAAGGGAGACAAGGCCAGGACCGAGCGCCCTAGGGTTGCCTCGCTCTTGGCAATGGCAACAGTTGCTTCACCCCAGCGCACTGCTTATGAGGGGCACGTCGTGGGGTCGATGTGTTGTAAACCCATGGAAATCTTGTTTTATAGTTAGGGTCCACCCACCCCCCCCCCCCCCTCTCCCAGAGTTATGAGACGGGTCCACATGCAGGACAGCTATGCGATTTTCGAATCTTAACACCCTGAAGCCTGAACCCTAAGCCCCAAAACCCTAAACCCTAAACGCTAAACCCTAAACCCTAAACCCTACACCCTACACTCTACACCCTACACCCTAAACCCTCACTGCAGGACTTCCCACGGGATCATCATCTGGGCGGCCGGGGCCTAAATGTCACATTTGTGGCGGAGGCTCGTTGCTGCTCTAGTGTTCGGGTATTTTCAAAAACGGATAAGGGTGCAGGGTTGGGGGTTTAGGGTTTAGGGTTTCGGGGTTTACGTTTTAGGGTTTTAGGCCTAGTGGTGCCCTTGTTCGTGCTTTCAATTTGGGTTCTGAGCCCTTATCAACCGAAGCCCACGCGAATGGCGACGTGGGAGGTCCCCCCAGCTCCCATCTATGCTGTCTTATGGGTTCAGGGTTTTAGGGTTCAGGGTTTTGGGTTTTGGGTGGACTGAGCCCGCACGCCTGGGTCCTGGTTCGGCCCTAACTCCTGCAGCCCTTGAAAGGTCTAGGGCTGGCATTTAGACTGAACAGCGCTGAACAACCCTGAGCCCCAACACCCTCAACCCCTTAAATTGACGCTCTTAACGCCTAAGCCCAATCTTCTCACGCCTAGAACCCCACCCACTGGTCGACTGAGTACGCTTTTGACACTTCTTGGGATACTATAACCCCCTGTAGAACTGGAAGTGCGCACTTTCTTGGGGCTTCTGAACTCAAACGCTAAGGAGGTGTTGAGGGGTTTTGGGCCGAGGAGCGCATCCGAACAGAACGGCGAAGGCCCGTCTTCGGATCGGTCTGGAACGAGAGGGTTTCAGGGTTTAGGGTCTTTGTAGGGACTCTAGGTCTCTAGGGTTTAGGGTTTAGGGTTTAGGGTTTAGGGTTTAGGGTTGGGGTTTAGGGTTTAAGGTTAAGGGTTTAATTCGGGGTTGGGGTTTTTCAAGGTGAGCATGTTTCGGATGAAGTGCTTGGGATCAGGGATTGTGGAGTCAAGGACTTTTAGAGGGTTTAAGGTTGAGGGTTTAGGGTTATAGGGTTATAGGGTTATAGGGTTATAGGGTTATAGGGTTATAGGGTTATAGGGTTATAGGGTTATAGGGTTATAGGGTTATAGGGTTATAGGGTTATAGGGTTATAGGGTTATAGGGTTTAGGGTTTAGGGTTATAGGGTTTAGGGAGATCCCTTTTCAAAGCCCGAAACCCCACCGCTGAACCCTCCCAGCCAGGCTGGGGCTGGAGGATCCCAATGGCCCTACCACGGCGGACCTCAT